TGTGTGTGTGTGTGTACGCGCGCGTGCAAGTGCGAGTGCGTATTTTTGTCATTTCTTCTTCTTCATGTGTCAGGTCTGGATCAGACATTTACGATCATGGTACCCCACTCCTTCCTGTTGTCGGTCTTCTTGATCAACTCGTTTATTTTTTCTTTTTGTCTTATTCGTAGCAAAGTTGCTCAGGCCATCTTTGTGTGTCGTTCAATGTCTTCCTCTGCTCTTCTTTCCCTCTGTTTTCCCACACAGCAGCAGTTTCTCTATTCCATTTGATCTATTTTTGTCCCCATAGCAACTCAAATAAAATTTAATAATAGTACAACGTAGTATAGTATAATAGTTGTATAACATTCAGCATAGCCAACATAAAGGGAGACGCTTATCCTATATGATATCTGCTCCAGGTATCCGAGTGAACGGCGTCAACCCAACCCTGGTGGTGAGCACGAGACTCTTTGGCCGTGACGAGACCAACAGAAGAATGCTGAGCAGTCTGGACGAAGACTTCGGCAAGAAACATCCGCTCCACGGGCGAGCCAGCACAGTGGAGGAACAGGCGGAGGTTGTCGTGTTCTTGGCTGGCGGAGGGGCCGGGTTCGTCACAGGACAGAGCGTCACTGTGGACGGGGGTCTGTGTTTGGGGAAACGGCCATAGTGTACAGTGTACGGGGGGGGGGGGGTATTATTTTTAGTACAATGGAAAATGGAAACGACCATTATAGATAGTGCAACACATGACGTCCCACATAGTGTCCCTATAGTGTTCTGGGAAACGGTCATCGTGTTTGGGGAAACAGTCATAATGCTTAGGGAAACGGTTTTTTAGTTATAGTGCTATGGGACACATGCTTAGCGAATCGGTTATTTAGTTATTATACATGTAGTGCATAGGGACACATGCTCAGCGAAACGGTTATTCAGTTAAAGTGCTCAGGGACACATGCTTAGCGAAACGGTTATATAGAACTTATAGTGCTTAGAGAAACTGTCATAGTCATAATACTTTACCACTACACCACAGACACATACTGTGTGATCAAGTGATCATGCACTTCTTAATAATACGCTATAACAGATGCATAACTTTGTTATTTATGCAGATATTCCAAGTCCCGTTTTCTTTATCTGAATAAAGAGGCATGCAACAACATGTATACTATGGAATTAATTTTTTTTTAAACAAATCTGTGTTTCTGATGTTTAAAGTCTGTTGGTTCGAAACGTACCCCCGCAGCGTTGCCTCTGGACGGCTTGATGGTTGGACATATATGTGTGCGCACAAAGCACTCAAAGAGTTAATAGTTTGTGAATCTGTTTGTGAACACACATGGAACCCCCCACCCCCTCTCTATTGTCTTTATCTCTCCTCCTTTTCTTTGTAGGCTACTCTCATATAGCACCTCTGATCTTTGCTCCATCTTTCCTATCAAACATCTGTCATCCCTTTCTTTTTTTTTGTATGCTCTTCTCAAGTAAAATTTCCGATCTTCGTCACATATATGACCTTCGTATAACAAATGCCATAAAACAATTTCAAAAACTAAACACAAACAAAGGAAATAAAACAAAAGGGTAACAATACTAAAGGTCATCATAATATACTTCCAAAGAAGAAACCAAACTCAAAACATATTTCTATGATGATTTAATTAAGAAAGAGAATAGGAACACAATTATAGAGGGTATTTCACAAAAAACTCAAAGTAAGGAAGTTTTGAATAAACTGATGGAAAATTTCAAACTACTTCCCCCAAAAATAATGGTATATGCTAAAAAATACAACAACCCCAAAACAAACAAACAAAAATGAACCCATGAAATTGAGATAAACAAAACAAAATAAAACTAAAAGAATATCCTACAACCTAAATGGCACATCTCATTAAGATAATAAATTTTGACAGAGAGTGGAATCATCATTAAAAACAACACTTCCCTGCTTGAATGTGAAATATTCTCAGCTTAATTTATTCAAATTCCTTAAATACTTGACATAAAATGTATTATTATTTATTTCAACATCCTCCAACATCTTAACAGAAAAAAGTGATAATTGGAGAACTTTGACACAACTATATCAGGGCCAATCTGAACTAAGAGGGGGATGCAGCTTCCCAGCAGAAAGATAGAGATACTCTCATAACAATTCTACCACTCAGGAATCGAACTCGCATCTTCTGTGAGCAACGGCATAATGCTTAACCACTACACCACAGACACTGGTCATCTTGACATATCCACATAATTTAATTTGTCACGAGGCAGCTCTCAAACAGGGAAACTGCCAGTATCATGTACAGATAAACATGTAGATTAAGTGGTACCGAGAAGTAAATAGCAACTATAATAATAATACATAATAATAATAAATAATATTTGCATAGCGCATACGTCCGCTCGACAGCAAGCTGAATACACTTCACTCTATATTATTACCTCAGCAGAATATAGAACACTCAGAAACATTCTCAGCTTCCTGAAATAATATAATGAAATACCCACAAGAAAACAATTAATTGAATAAGTTAAGTGACAGTGAAAGAAGTGCATACAGCAGAAAGTGGGAGACAAAGTTAATAATAAATAAAGCACCAAAGAGAGAAATGAAAGATTCAAAAAGGCGCTTACACACAAACACACACACATTCACACACGAAAACACACACACACACACACACACACACACACCATACACACACACACTCACTCACACACACCACATACACACA